CTCCAGGCCAAGGATACTCACAGCCTCTTCCTTCCTTCTTAGGGAGAGGCAGTCATTCACCCTCTATTCCTGGCAGACTTGGCTTTCCCCAGAACCACAGCTGGACCTCCTGGCCCTAGCTGAGGAGCTGGAACAGGAGGCAGGACTCACCCTTGAAGAGATGAGCCAGAGGAGGCAGGGACACTCAGGGAGACAAGGGAGGGATGGACCCCAGGTAGAAGAGGGAAGGCATAAGACACCCAGGTAACCAAGGGAGGCAAGGACCCAGGTCAGCCGGGGAGGGATGGGACCACATAACAGGAGGCCCTCATGGCTCTGTTCATCCTCCCCTGCCTGGAAGGCCTGGCCTCATGGAGGGCCTGCTAGGGACTGGGTGCGATGCAGGACCATAGGAAGGAGAGGATGGGGGCCCAGAGGGAAAGGAAGGACACACAGCTGGGAATTAGGCCCAGGAGGACAGCAGGAGTGCTCTAGTGTCTGTACTTTGACTGGAGGCCTGTTGACATTCCCTGTTTTGCTCCCCAATGCCATCATCCCCCTGCCCAGCCCTCCTTCTTCCCTCACCATGTATGCGGGGCCAATCACTGTGCACCTCCCTCCTACCAGCTGGTGCAGAAAGGACTCCTGGCCCTGAAGGAGGAGTTGGGTGTGCGGGCACACACCAGTCACAGTGTACCCCATTAGGACTCAAGTCCTCATGAGTCTGATGTTGGCCTAGATGCCCAGACACATGACCAAGGCCCCCAGCGAGGGGTCGGTGATGAAGACAGCCCAGCAGACGTTGATTTTGAGGAACTTCTAAGGTGCTACCGAGCAGACAGTGGCCTGTTCATGTCCAAACACTTTATTCTCTCTCCAGGACATCATGGTTTCCTTCCATTCCAGGCTGGACAGCCCCTCTCCCCTTCCCGGGGTCAAAAGTGCACTGCACGGAGTCTAGGACCCAGGGATGCCTCAGTTCTCAGAGAGACGTCTCCTATTAGGGAGGCCCCAGGGCCAAGGGATGGGTCCAGTGAGGACAAGGGGCAGCTCCGCAT